TCCTCCTCCTCCTCCTCTTGTTCCTCCTTCCCCTCCTCTCCCCAATCTCCCTCCCCCTCTTCTTGTTTCTTGCCCCCCCCCACCCCTCCTTGTTGTCCGTTCTCCCCTCCCGCGTGCTGTACTGTCTCCTCCGAGCCTGCGTGTGCTTCTGGTGGTGCTGCTGCCCGGCGGCGTGCCGCTGCACTCCGAGGGCCCCCGCCCGAAGCCGGTGGCGGCGAGGGCTCGCAGGGCCGCCGCCCCCCCCGCCCCTCTCTGTCGGGGGGGCGAGGCGGAGATGGGGAGGAGGAGGAGGAGGAGGAGGAGGAGGAGGAGGAGGAGGAGGAGGAGGAGGAGGAGGAATAAGAGGAGGAGGAGGAGGAGGAGGAGGAGGAGGAGGAGGAGGAGGAGGAGGAGGAGGCGAGGCCGGGGGATGGTGGAGCCCCTCGTCGTTTTCATACGGTTTTTATGGAGTGAAACGCTCTTTCACCCTGAACTGTTGATTGTTGTTTGTCATTTTTCTTTTCGCCGTGATCCTCTCATACAATCTTTTCTCGTTAAATCGTTCTCTAGTGTTCTCTCTCTCTCTCTCTTTGTCTTTCTCTCTCTCTCTCTATTTGTCTATCTCCTGCACCAGGCCAATGCATGCCGATGCGATACAAATCCATCCCCAACCAACACCAATGCCAATGCAATGCCAATGGGGGAATCCTTTCGTTCGGTAGATTTCAATAAGAATACTTTGTGGATGATATCATTACGGATCCTTCTTCGGAGGATTTCAATAGCAATGCTTATGTGTAGGGTTTCGACAGGGATCCTCATGTGGAGGGTTCCGCTAGGAATCCTTCATGTGGGAGGATTCAGTCGGAGTTGGAGTTCAAGGCCTCTGCGACGGGTCCCGCCTGGCCTAGCGTGCTGCGATTAGTTTACACATGCGCTCAGCTTAGATCTCGAACACAGCGGCTCAGCTATATGCCCAAGTCGCTGCTACATACTGCCACAAGGCTGTTGCAACAGAGAGTCTGGGACGTACCATCCGTGGCTCTTTCTGCGCCCCGTCAATGCTAATATCATCTATGCTAGTGCCCTGGTCTAGTTGTGTGGCTATCGCCGCGCGGAGTCCGTCCGCGGAGGGAGCAAGTAGGACTCGCCAGCGCAATGCCAACGCAATGCCAAAGCTTTGCCATCGAAATGCCAAACCAATGCCAAGGCGATCCCAATTCAATGCCATTCAATGCCAATGGGGATTTCCTTTGTGGTAGATTCCAAAAGGAATCCTACCTGTGGAGGGTTTCGATTGGAATCCTTCCGTGGGGGGGTTCAGTATGAATATTTTATGTGGGGGGCTTTCAAAAGGATCCCTTTTTGTGGAAGGTAAGATATCCTTCTGCTGTGGGAGCCATTCGAACTCGCCAGCGCAATGCCGAAGCAGTGCCAACGCGATGCCAAACCAATGCCAATACAATGCCAATGGGGGGAATTGTTTGTGGTAGATTTCAATAGCAATCCTTCTAAGAACCCTTCTTCGGGGGATTTCAACCGGAAGCCTTATATGGAGGGCTTCGCATGGAACCCTTCTGTTGATGATTTCAATGTGAATCCTTCTTGTGGGGGGATGCAAGAGGCATCCTTTTTTGTGGGGGTGTTCAATAGGAATCCTTCTGTGAAGTGTTTGAGTAGGACTCGCCAGCGCAATGTCAACGCAATGCCAACGCACTGCTAACGCACTGCCATCGCAAAGCCAACGCAATGCCAATGCGATGCCAAACCGTTGTCAAACCAATGCCAATGCAATGCCGATGGCGGGATTCCTGTCTTCCAACAGATTTCGCTGGGAATCCTTATGTGCATGATTTGGTTACGAATCCTTCTTCGGAGGACTTCGATAGGAATCCTCCCGTGGAGGGTTTCGATTGGAATCTTTATGTGAGGGGTTTCACTTTGAATCCTTCATGTGGGGGTTGTAAAAGGATCCCTTCTTGTGCAAGGTTTTCATAGGAATCCTTCTGTGGGGGGGGAGCCATTAGAACTCGCCAGCGCAATGCCAACGCAATACCAATGCAATGCCAAACCGACGCCAAAGCGATCCCAGTTCAGTGCCAGTGCAATGCCAATGGAGGGAATCGTTTGTGGTCGAGTTCAAGAAGAATCCTTCTATGGAGGGCTTCGAATGGAATCCTTCCGTGAGGGAGTTCAATGTGAACCCTTCTTGTGGGATGCTTCAATCGGAATCCTTCTTGTGGGGGGTTCAACAGGAATGATTCTCCGAAGGGAGGTGTTGGAACTCGCCAGCGCAATGCCAGCGCAATGCCAACGCAGTGCCAACGCAATGCCACACCAGTGCCAAAGCGATCCCAACCCAATGCCAATGCACTGCCAATGGGGGAAATCCGTTGTGGTAGATTTCCATAGGAATCCAACTGTGGAGGGTTTCGCATGGAATCCTCCTGTTGAGGGTGTCAATAGGATTCCTTAGTGTAGAAGGTTTCGATCAGAGTCCTTTTGCGGAGGGTTCCATTAGGACTCGCCAGCGCAATGCTTGCGACATGCAAACACACTAGCAGCGCACTGCCAAGCGCAATGCCAACGCAATGCCAATGCGATGCCAAACCATTGCCAAACCAATGCCAATGCAATGCCAACGAGTGTTCTTTCTTTCGAAGCATCCCACTATCACGCAATCTGTTCATTGTAATCCTTCTGCGGGGGCAGCCACTGGAACTTGCCAGCGCAATGCCAACGCAATACCAACGCAATGCCAAACCGACGCCAAAGCGATCCCAATTCAATGCCAATGCAATGCCAATGGGAAAATCGTTTGTGGTCGGGTTCAAGAAGAATCCTTCTATGGAGGGCTTCGAATGGAATCCTTCCGTGAGGGAGTTCAATGTGAACCCTTCCTGTGGGATGCTTCAATCGGAATCCTTCTTGTGGGGGGGCTCAACAGGAAACATTCTGCGAAGGGAGGTGTTGGAACTCGCCAGCGCAATGCCAACGCAGTGCCAACGCAGTGCCAACGCAGTGCCACACCAATTCCAAAGCGATCCCAACCCAATGCCAATGTACTGCCAATGGGGGAAATCCGTTGTGGTAGATTTCAATAGGAATCCTTATGTGGAGGGTTTCGCATGGAATCCTGTTGTGGAGGGTGTCAATATGAACCGTTTGTGGAGGGTTTCAATAGGAGTCCTTCTTGTAGAAATGTTCGATCGGAGTCCTTCTGTGGAGGGTGCCATTAGGACTCGCCAGCACAATGCTTGCGAAATGCAAGCACACTAGCAACGCACTGCCAAGCGCAATGCCAATGCAATGCCCATGCGATGCCAAACCATTGCCAAACCAATGCCGATGCAATGCTAACGGGGGGTTCTTTCTTTCGAAGCATCTCAATATCAATCCTTTTGCGGGTGATTACAATAGAAATCCATCTGTGGAGGAGCTCAATAGGAATCATTCAGTGGAGGGTTTCGATCGGAATCCTTCTGTAGAGGATTTCACTATGAATCCTTCTTGTGGGGGCGTTCAATAGGAATCCTTCTAGGGGGGAGGGGCAGATGCGGCCACGCCGCATTCCTTTTTTTCGCCGCCGACCCCCCTCCCCCCAGCAAAAACATGTGTTTTTTTGTTTTCGGGGGGGGGGGAGAGAGACATAACAAAAAAGGAGGAGGAGGAGGAGGAGGAGGAGGAGGAGGAGGAGGAGGAGGAGGAAGAAGGGAAGGGAGGTGGAAGGAGAGGAGGACGCCACAGAGTACGCACACCACTGAAAAACGCACGCGCGAACTCAGTGTGAAAGCCTCGCGCGCGCGCTCTGGAACCCCGAGAGCTCCACAATCCCCCGTTCTCGAGGAGGAGGGGGAGGAGGAGGAGGGGGAGGAGGAGGAGGAGGAGGAGGAGGAGGAGGAGGAGGAGGAGGAGGAGAAGGATGAGGAGGAGGAGGAGGAGGAGGAGGAGGAGGAGGATGAGGAGGAGGAGAGGGAGGAGGAGGAGGGAGGAGGAGGAGGAGGAGGAGGAGGAGGAGGAGGAGCAGCAGCAGCAGCAGCAGCAGCAGCAGGATGATCGGGAGGTGAGGAGGGGCAGCGCGAGTAGGCTCGGTCTCAGGCGCTGCGTGGTCAGCTCCGCCCCTTGATCGTCAGCACAGTCGTGCGCACATCCGCCACCGTGTCCCCCTGCCACGCGGAGGCGTGGCAGGATGCCAGGCGCTGTCTGGCAGGGCTTCTGCCAGGCGCTGTCTGGCAGGGCTTCTGCCACTGTTCTGGGCGCCCCCCCCCTCTCCCCCTCCACGAGGCTCTCCCTGGGCGCCCTTCGACGCCTCCCTGTCGCTCTCCAAGGCCTCCTCCTCCTCCTCCTCCTCCTCCTCCTCCTCCTCCTCCTCCTCAATGCCCAAGATGATGGCTTCAAAGACGGCCCCGGCAGGCCACCCAGGCCGCCAAGGTGCCCCAAGATCGCTCCAAGAGCCACCCAACAGCTCCCAAGTAGGCCCCATAAGGCACTCCTCCTCCTCCTCCTCCTCTTCCTCCTCCTCCACTCAAGAGAGGCCCCGAGAGGCTTCGAAAACACCCCGAAGACCCTGGCGAGCCTCGAGGGGGCCATGCACATCGATTGTCCTGTGGTTCCAGGGGCAGCCTCAAAACCTCCACACAACTGATGCTCCAGCCTGCAACTCAGAGGGAGGCGCAACTACTTAGTGGTGCGCGACTCCCACTGCATCGGTGCTGGATTTGCTAGCTAGCAGCCCGCTCTAACCCGAACGCGGTGTGACCCATGTCGCTGCGGCATGTGTACATCTGTATATGAATATGATATAGATATGTATACACGTATACGTGAACGCACACATATATCAACATATGCACATCTATATATATATATACACACAAGACTGCATGCATTGGCGCTTCGCGCCACGCACTGTGGTCCTCGAAGTTTGGCATGCATGTATATGCATGTGGATATGCAATAAGGTAAAACAGGCCCGGGCTGCCCGAGTACGCAATTCGAAGCAATGGCAAGCCACGCGAATGAATGCCAAACAAAGCAACGCACTGTCCAGCAATGCCGCAGAATACCAAGCAATGCAATGTCAAGTAATCTGCAATGTCTTGGGGAATACGCCGAATCTCGGGTTCGCCACCGATTTCAAGGGAACTGTACTGCGAAAGCGGGATTCGGGTCGATTCGGCAAATGTCGTAGGAGACGCCTTCTGGAAGACCCACGATCGTGTAAAACAATGACGTTCGGGGTCCTTTACGTGGCCATCACGCAGGCTCGCTCGTGGCCCAAGTCGCCCAGTCGCGGAATGCAAGGCAATGGAAATCAGCGCCTCGTTGCTCTCCACAGGCATCCTCTTCTTTGCTTCTCTTTCTAGAGAGTCACGCCCACTTGTCCTCCAATGTCGGGGTTCGTGGCAATAGCAAGTGTTTGTTTACGTTCTCCATTCTGGGGGCTTTGCGGCACACGCGGCTTGGCGAGGGGGCAGGAGGCCGTCTTTCACAAGGAACCCAGGGTGGAGGAGGAGGAGGAGGAGGAGGAGAAGGAACACCAGGACACACAGTTGCAGAAAGGGCGCCACAACGAGAACCTACGTGGGTGTTCTCGCCAGCGTTCCCGCCTTTGTTTCGTCCTCGTTCGCGCCCTCGTTTCCGACCTCTTTCTCGCCTTCGTTCTCGCCTTCGTTCTCGCCTTCGTTTCCGCCCTCGTTCTCGCCTTCGCTCTCGTCTTCATTCTTGCCTTCGCTTCCGCCTGCGTTCTCCCATGCGTTCTCGCCTTCGTCTTCGCCTTCGTTCTCGCCTTCGATCTCGCCTTCGTTCTTGCCGTCGTTCTCGCCTTCGTTCCGAATCCGTTCTCGCCTTCGTTTCCGCATTCGTTTTCGCCTTCGTTCTCGCCTTCGTTCTCGCCTTCGTTTCCGCCTTCTTTCCCGCCTTCGTTCTCACATTCGTTCGCCCTCGTTCTCGCCTTCGATCCCGTCTTCGTTCTCCCATTCGTTCTCGCCCTCGTTTTCGCCTTCGTTCCCGCCTCCGTTCACGCCTCCGTTCTCGCCTTCGTTCTCGCCGTCGTTCTCGCCTTCGTTTTCACTTTCGTTCTCGCTTTCGTTCCCGCCTTCCTTGCCGCCTTCGTTCTCGCCTTCGTTCTCCACCTTCGTTCTCGCCTTCGTTCCCGCTCTCGTTCTTGTCAACCGGGCGTTCTCAAACCACCCGGTTCTCCGAAACCAACGGGGTCTTCCCAAACCAACCGGGTCTTATCAAACCAAGCCCCTGGGTCATCCCAAACCAAGCCTCCGGGTCTTGCTAAACCGCCAAGTCTTCCCAAACGAAGCCCCATGTCTTTCCAAACCCACCGGGCCTTCCAAAACCAACCAGGTCTTCCAAAGCCAAACCCCCGGTCACCCTTCCCGGAGCTCTGGCTTGGGAAGGCCCGTTTGGCTTGGGAAAGAAGCCCCCCGAGGAGGAGGAGGAGGAGGAGGAGGAGGAGGAGGAGGAGGAGGAGGAGGAGGAGGAGGAGGAGGAGGAGGAGGGGGAGGAGGAGGAGGAGGAGGAGGAGGAGGAGGGGGAGGAGGAGGCGCGAAGATCGTGGGCGCCAGCGCCGCCGGCGCCCCTGGCCAGGGCCCTCGGAGGCTCGTGCTGCGCCAAGGCGTCCGCCGACTCGTCGTGGTAGAACGTCTGCCCCCGGCGCCGCTCCTCGAGCAGAGGCCCCCCCCCCCCCAGAGGGAGCCCTCGGCACCTGCAGACCCAGACCCCCTCGCGTCGTGAAAAAATCACGACGGGAGGTTTTTCCTAATTTTCGGCCTCTGGGGGCCCTTACCGGCCCTCGGGACCGTCAAAAAACGACTCAGGAGGAAAAACCGGCCCCGGGGAATGGGTCGAGACCTCGGGGGGACGCCGTCCTGAAAAAATCACGACGTCGGATCTCCGGGGAGGGACCCCTCGGCACCTGCAGAGCGGAGGCCTGCTGCTCGGGGCTCTGCTGGCCCGGGTCCCGTCCAGGCCCGGGCCATGTCAGGCTGCCTGCAGGACCCTGCGCCCAAGCTCGGGTCCATGCGGCCCTGGCCACGCAGGATCCTGCCAGGTCCGGCGCTCTGACTGAGCCCCGCCCGTTCGCGCTGACCCCCGTCTCGAGGCCCCCGATCCGCCTGCGGCAGGCTCGTGCCGTGGCGACTTCGGCGCTGGCCTGCGACACCGCGTTTGCGGTCCCGCCCGGAACGACCGCGGCCCTCCGATGGCGCAGACCGTTCGATGTCGGCCGACTCTGGGCCACCGGCGGCGTTCAACCTTGCACGCCCGTGCTGGGGTCGTCGCCGCGCCGGACGGCACGACCCTGGCGTCGTGGACGCCACGACAACGGACACCCGAACAGTCCTATCATCGAATTAAAAGAGTGCTCAACATGTAGGAGACATGTCCTGAACATGTTTGAAACATGTTTTTGCTTATACTTTTCATACATACTACAGCAGTTTAAACACATGTTCTAAGACATCTGGAAATTCTTTGGCAACGTGCTTCCTCTCCATTGCTCGTCCTCCACAGCCCTGGCGTGCGCTCTGGACCCCACCGGGAAGCTGGAAAAGCGCACCCGGCTGGCTCCGTGCCTGGGACCTGCGGACGCCGCGCGCGGGACACGCACGGCGAAGCCCGGCGTGCCCGGCGAGACGCAGGAGGGGCGATCGCCGGAGAGACGCCTGCACATGTGCAGGCCCGGGCCAGAGCCGGGTGCACCCGGCTCTGGCCCGGGCCGGCCGCGCCACGTGCATCCAACCCAGACCCCCTCGAGTTATGAAAAAATCACGACGGGAGGTTTTTCATTCTTTTTGGCCTCTGGGGGCCCTCACCGGCCCTGGGGAGCGTCAAAAAACGACTCGGGACGAAAAACCGGTCCCGGGGAATGGGTCGAGACCTCGGGGGGTCGACGTCATGAAAAAATCATGACGTCGGGGGTCTGGGAATCCAGCCTCCCGGCAGTCTGATGAAGGAGCCCCCCTTTCCGTGGATCGACCTCCTGCAGGATGGCCCCATAGGATGGCAGCCTCCGAAACAAACACACACACACACACACACACACACACACACACGCACACGCACACGCACACACACACGCACACGCACACGCACACGCACACGCACACACACACACACGAGAGCTCCCAAGAGGCCCACCTATAGAGGCCCGCATGCCTCCAGGTGCTTCACGAGGGCTCCCCACTTCGCGCTCCGCGCTGCGCGGAGCGCGAGGTGCGAACAACTTCGCGCCCTCGCGCCGCCTCCAATGGGAGGTCTCCGGAGGACCAAACACCTCCAACGCTTCGGTCCTCGAGGCGGAGGAGGAGGAGGAGGAGGAGGAGGAGGAGGAGGAGAAGGAGGAGGAGGAGGAGGAGGAGGAGGAGGAGCAGGAGGGGATGGGAGGAGGAGAGGAGGAGGAGGGAGGAGGAGAGGGGAGGAGGAGGAGGACGAGGAGGAGGAGGAGGGGAGGACGAGGAGGGAGCAGGAGGAGGAAGAGGAGGGAGCGAAGGAGGAGGACGAGGAGGAATCGGAGCCGAAGCGCGAAGCGCGAAGAACTTTCGCGCCCTCGAGGGCGCCCCTTGCTGCACACGTGCCTCGTCGCCGCAGCCCAGCCACGGCGACGAAGACGGCCCTCACAGAGCCAATCTTTCGAGCCGGGGGGCGGAGGAGGGGATGAGGATGAGGGGAGGAGGAGGAGGGGAGGAGGGGTGAGGAGGCAGGGGGAGGCCTCCTCCTCCTAAACGCTCCTTGCGTCCTCTCCTCCTCTCCTCGCCTGCCTCCTCCCTCCTACTCCCCTCCCCTCTTTGCTCTCCTCCTCCTCCTCCTCCTCCCTCCTCCTCCTCCTCTCCTTCCTCCTCCTCCTCCTCCTCCTCTCCCCCGCGGTGGTCTCCCGGGGCTCCCTCCCCGCCCAGATCTTTCGAGCCGCGTCCGGCCGCGGCGACGAGATCTCCCCAGGAGCGCCCAGGAGCCTCCAGGAACGCCCGCTGGTCGGACCTCTCGCCCCTCGTTCTGGAAAAGGCTCCTCGCGAGGTCCATCGGCGTCGGATCGGGGCATCGGATCGAATCGGCATGTGCGTCGGATCGGGCTGCATCGGCGCAGAGTGGGAGTCGACCTGGGTCGGCTGCACCAGACTGCACAGCGCCGTGCGGACATCGGGCCGCATCGGGCCGCTGGCATGTCGGAATCGAAGCAGATCGAGCTGGCCAGAGCCGACATCGCATCCGATCGACCGCATCGAAACGGACCCTGCACTCTCTGGAAGCTAGGCTCCTATGTACACCGTGGAGGTTGGCAGGGCAGGGCAGGGTCCTTCCTGCTCTGTGGGCTTTGCGGGGCCCGAGCTGGCCAGAACCGACATCGAATCGGATCGATCGCATCGAAATGGACCCTGCACTCTGGAAGCTAGGCTCCTACACCGTGGAGGTTGAGATGCCTACATACATCTCCATATTCACAGGGCAGGGTCCTTCCTGTTCTGTGGGCGTTGCGGGGCCCGAGTTGCCGTGGGCTCGGCCAAGGTCGAGGCCCTTGGTGACCCCTGCCCCACGAAGCCCCCCAACCCTGCCCGCCGGCGAGCCAGGGACTGGCTCTCTGAAGGCGGGCACCCGGCAACTGGCATCAGGCTCGTCCAGTCGGATCCGTAACTTGCTTAGTTTTCTCTGAGGGCTGGCGTGTCATCGCCCTCCCCCAGTATCATGTAGTCGTCGTCGCGTTCTCGGATGCTTCGCCGTTCTATGCTGCGTCCTGCGTCCTCCTTCGCCTCTGAAGGGGCCCTGGGACACACAAACAAATACACACAAATACAAGGATTCCCCACATTTTCCTATAGTTTTGGGGCTTTCGTCTTCCCCCCACTTCCCATATTTTCCCATGTTTTCTGGGGAATCGACGATTAATTGTGTCTGTTTGTTTTTGTTCCCTCCTGAGCCTCTTCCTTTTCCTAGTCGTACTCCCGCCTCCGCCGCCCTCGTCCCCTCCCTCCTCGTCCCCATCCCCCATGCTGCTGCTGCCCCTCCCCATGAGCGACCCGGACCTCCCAAAACGGAGGATCGGGAGGAGGGAGGAGAAGCAGGGGGGGAAGCAGGAGGAGGGAGGAACAGGATGAGATTCAGGGGGGAGGCAGGGGGGGAGCAGAGGGGGCAGGACAAGAGGGAGGCGGGGGAGCGCAGGATAAGGGAGGGGCAGGAGGAGGGGGAGGAGGGGGAGGAGGTAAGGCTGTAAGGGCAGGTGGCTCCGTGGCGTCCGCGTCCCTGGAGGTGTCGAAGGTGGACGGCTTGAGAGCTGCGGCTGGCGCGGGCCACCAGGTGACAAGGAATAGCGCCAGCACCTTGTGGGGGTCCACAGGAATCCTGCCCCCTGCTCTTCCTCCGACTTCCTCCTTGTTCTCCCTCCTCCTTTTCCTCCTCCGTCTGGCCCCTGCCTCCTCTCTCTTCCTTCTTCCGTCCATCCAGTCTTCATGCATAGTATCATCCTCATCCTCCTCATCACCATCACCATCACCATCACCATCACCATCACCATCGCCAACATCATCAGTCCATCATCATCATCATCATCATCATCAGCAGCAGCAGCAGCATCAGCATCAGCATCAGCATCAGCATCAGTATCATCATCATCATCATCATCATCATCATCATCATCATCATCATCATCATCATCATGATCATCATCATCATCATCATCACCATCATGACCATCATCACCATCATCACCATCACCACCCACCATGATCAACATGATCATCATCAACATCATCATCACCATCATCATAATCATCATCATCTTCTTCAACGTCATCATCACCACCATCATCATCACCAACAACACCAACTAGTCATCATCATCATCACCATCATCAGCATCATCGTCATCCTCCTCATCATCATAATCGTCGTCATCCCCATCATCATCACCATCATCAGCATCAACATCATCAGCATCACCGTCGTCCTCCTCCTCCTCATCATCATCAACATCAACATCAACATCATCATCATCATCATCATCATCATCATCAGCATCCCCGTCATCATCATAACCATCATCATCAACATCATCATCATCCTCATCCTCATCCTCATCGTCATCGTCATCACCACGATCATCGCCACCACCATCACCACCACAATCATCAGCCTCATCCTCGGCTTCTTCCTCATCCCTCGTCGTCCTTGTCCTCCACCTCCCTCCTCTTCCTCCTCGTCCTCCTCCTCCTCCTTCTTCCCCTCCCCCTCCCTCCTCTTCCTCCTCGTCCTCCTCGTCCTCCTTCTTACCCTCCTCTCCCCTCCTCCTCATTCCTTTCTCTCTCCGCCTCCGCCTCCGCCTCCGCCTCCGCATCCGCCTCCGCCTCCGCCTCCGCCTCCGCCTCCGCCTCCTCCTCCGCCTCCTCCTCCGCTTCTCCTCCTCCTCCTCCTCCTCCTCCTCCTCCTCCTCCTCCTCCTCCTCCTCCTCCTTCCCCTCCCCCCCCTCCCCTCCTCCCTCCGTGCGACGCCAGCTTGGCTCAAGTCCGTGGCGGCAGGCCGAGAGCCCTCGGGCCGGCGGAGGCGCGCCCCCGCCAGCACCTCCCGTGCCCGGCAGCTCGGGAGCGACACTCTTGAAGGGGCCCTGGGACACACACGCACACACGCACGCACGCACGCACGCACGCACGCACGCACGCACGCACGCACGCACGCACGCACGCACGCACGCACGCACGCACGCACGCTCGCACGCACGCACTCACACACACACACACACACACACACACACACACACACACACACACACACACACACACACACACACACACACACACACACACACACTCACACACACACTCACACGCACACAAATAGATGCACACAAATAACAGGATTCCTCATATTTTCTGGGTTCCTGTCTTCCCCCTCCCCCCACTGCCCATCTTTTCCCAGACGTTCTGGGGGATCGGCGATTCGTTGTGTCTGTTTTTTTCCCCTCCTGAACTCTTGGTGTTCGGCGGCGCGCCCCCGGGGCGGGAGAGCGCAGGGGAGGCCCACCTCCTCGGGGGCGTCCTGGGGGCCCGGAGGAGGAGGGAGGAGGAGGAGGAGGAGGAGGAGGAGGAGGAGGAGGAGGCGAGGAGGAGAGGAGGATTGCGGAGGAGGAGGAGGGAGGAGGAGGAGGGAGAGGAGAGGGAGGAGGGAAGGAGGGAGAGAGGGAGTAGGGGGAGGAGGAGGAGGAGGAAGAGGAGGAGGAGGAGGAAGGAGGAGAGGAGGAGAGGAGGAGGATGAGGAGGAGGGAGGAGGAGGAGGAGGAGGAGGAAGAGGATGAGGGGAGGCGGAGAGGAGGAGGAGGGGAGGTGAGAAAAAGAGAAGAGAGGAGGGAGGGAGGGAGGAGGGAAAGGAGGGAGGAGGGAGGAGAAGGAGGAGGAGGAGGAGGAGGAGGAGGAGAAGGAGGAGGAGTGAGGGAGGAGGAGGAGGAGGAGGGAGCCCACCCCTCGGGGGCGTCATTTTTTTTTTTTTTTTTTTTTTTTTTTTGCGTGCGAACGCCAAGCCAAACTCTGCAGGCAGGTTAAGACTGGGCGGCTGAAAATGGCGGGGAGCACGGGCCCCTACTTACCTTTGAAGTTCTTGACGCGACGAGCGGCATGAAAATGAAGAAGTGCATGCAGCCGACTACGACGCAAGCGGCGACGCCCCAGAAGAACCAGAGGTCGCCGCCGAAGGTGAAGCCAAAGAAGAAAACCATCAGCTCGAACAGGCACCCGCACACTCCTCGTGCTCTACACCGACCTCGAAGCAGGCGACGAGATCGTGAAAGTCCATTTCGCCAGCACGCGCAAGAGCAACATAAGCTTCACGCAAATTGGGCGAAGCGCGCCACCAAGCGGCACGGAACCTCGCCTCAAGCCTCTTCCACTGACGCACTGGCACCAACTTGGACTTGTTCTTCATGAAGGCAATGACGTCCCTCAGCGCATCACGAACGTCGTCAGCCGACGCCCGAAAGGACCCTCCGCTCGCTGAAGCTGAATTCGTACTATTAGCACGCACTCCTCCAGCAAAAATCGAAGAATCGTCGTAACAAAAGTGCCCGTCCAAGCTCGCCTCGCTCTGGCCATCACCCTTGTCAAATGAATTAAGAACTTCACTTTGTAAGCCCCGTACTTGATCCTGTTGCTCTCCAGCGACCTGCAGAACTCCAGCACCTCCATCTTCACAAGAAGGCGCTGGCCCCTGGAGGTCACAAGCAGCAGAATCCCCTTCGGCGATGTCGAAAAAGGAAGGCACGCTCTTGGCGAAGTTGTCGTCCTCGTCGTCCTCTACGTACGCTGACTCTTGCTTCCCATCGTAGCGCGCCTCTTCACCCATGGGGCGTCGGGAAACCTCGAAGTCGGAGACGGAACCGGGAGCTTCAGCAACTGCTTCAGCCTGACCAGCAAGTCCTTTTCCTCCTCGCGGCCCTTGAACTCCCCCTTGCAAATCACTTTCGGCGGTAAGGGCCGAAAGCTGGGCACCCTGGTCGCAGGCAGTGGCAGGTCAGCCTCAGCCTGCCTCAGCATCAGCCTGCCTCAGCCTCAGCCTCAGCCTCAGCCTGCCTCAGCCTCAGCCTGC